TCGTATCATGGAACGAAACTCGATAGCGCACAGTGACGAGGCTCAATATGGGCGGAATAGAAAAAAAATGCGTGCGAGGGGATAGAGTAAAGCTGGCCACACATACTTTTCGTAACAGCAACCGCAAAACGTAACGTAAGAATTGACCAATTACGATCGAATATTCATAAAAATGACGACCTTACGATTCGACGATTCTCAACATGATTGCTTAACGAAGGAGGCTCTGATCGAGTCTAGGTGCTGATGCTGCGCGATTACGTTAGTTAATTATTGCAGAAACTTTGCGTGCAGAGAGAAACATTTCTTGAATATTTTGGCATTTTTGCGAAAAAAAGAAAAATATTTCGACGTCTGATTGAATTCGGGTTGAATCAAAGCTGACGATCGTTAAATTAAGTGAAGATCGAGTTAAGAAGCTTAATAGTTAAATTAAATGAAAACTTAGTTAAAAAGTTAAACCAACTAATCACTGATACCACTTACAACTACTCTCAGTGAAAAATTTAATGATAATAGCCTATTTACACACACAAAACTGATGTGTTAAATTTAACATTTCATGTGTCCCAAATCATCCACTTTCATTTATGTATAAATTTAACACAAAACAAATGTGATAAAAAGTAACACGCATAATATATAAAAAATTAACACAAGAATTTAACATTTGAATACCATCAGGAATCACAGTTTGTGTTAAATTGACATATGTATAATTGACTATATAAAATATAATAAATTAACTAAAATGAAACGTTACTTTAACATTTGAGAGAAGTATCTATGGTTTTGATGAAATGAAAATGTTAAATTGACATAATCTATGTCTGATATATTAAGTGTCAATTTAACACAACCTGTGATTCCTAACGGTATTCAAGTGTTAAATTATTATGTTAATTCTTTCCATATTATGCGTATTACTTTTTAACACTTTTGTTTTGTGTTAAATTTACACATAAATGAGAGTGGATGATTTGAGTGGAATACATGAAATGTGTTAAATTTAACACATCAGTTTTTACAGTGCAGGTGACAACAAAACGAGTTTTGTATGTAGAATCAATGTATATGATTTAATGAACTATTTTCAGCAGTCACTGCTACCAAAGCTGAATAGTTAGGAGAACAATACAAAGGAATAGAGAACTGTATATAATCCTCGCAGCCGCACAGCTTTAGTTCTAATAACTACAGAACAGTTCATTAAACTCCGTACATTGTTAGATTTAATATATAAATAGTTTTAGATTCGACACTTAATAGTTTATTAAGTTACACACATTCCACGTACAAAACTGCTATAGTTGTCGCTTATATAGTTACCACCACCATGTACATATAACTTTGAGTGTAATTATTTCTGACAAATTGATAAGAACAGTTAAACATCGCAGATGAATATCGCTCTACAAAAAAAGAAGCGGAGTAGTGGATAATATTAACGCGTCTGTAACCGTCAACGAATGTTCAGCAGTTTCGAGGATAAAATAGCGCACAGCGCATCGCGTTATATTTTTCGCGTGTATATCCACACGGGATCATAATCGAATCCTTGCGGTACAGTAAGTTGGACGGTTTGGTAGCAATCTCCGGCAGATTAGATACGAGATTATTGAAGCGAGCGACGTCACGATAAATTTTCCTCTCGATAAAACGTGAGAAAAGAACGATCGACATTTCCACTACGCTCTCCCGTCTTCTCGAGAAGACGAATAATCGCGGGCGCGAGTTATTGTTAATCAAGCGGAATATCATAATCGTGGGATAACTCGCGAGATATACGACGTGAGAACATTTCTCCTTCCTTCACCGAGTGCCTTCCTGCTCCAATTGTCAATTACCAAAGAATACAATTGTTCGTGACCGTTAACGATCAACTATCCGTACTCGGGACAAACAAATTGGACACATTCAGTCTGTGATTCAGACGTACAAATCGCGCGCACGTATGTCTCTTTCGAAAATATTGACGCATCATTTAATCGTCCAGATGATATCTGCGATTTATCTTTAACTTTATCACTTAATCCCATGCAATCGCGCGAACGAACAAGTAGCCGAGTGTAACGATATGTGCTCAAACAATAATACACCGATCTGCCATTCGGCTTGCAATATATTCTTTTTAACGACATGGAAAAAAATAAAACACGAACTTTTCCTCCGCACACAGCTGTACACTCGTCCATTTGTTTTTACGGAGCACAGCGAGCCGATAGTTTCGTGAAATAATAAAATATCCAATACATCGAGGAGAGCGATCAATCGTTTACTTAGCGATTCTACCTTGTTGATGGAGTTTCTATCTAATCTAATGAAAGAAAGTGAGAAAAAAGAGGCAGAGAAAGCGAGAAAGAAAGAAAGAGAAAGAGGGAGAAAGAGAGAGAGAGAGAGAGAGAGAGAGAGAGAGAGAGAGAGAGAGCGGAACGTCCTGTTTAAAACGATAGATACAAAACGACAGCATTATATAAGATTTAGTTAATTTCAATCTAAATCTCTCAATGCAAATCAATATGATGATGATTGATTTACATCGAAATTCGGACTGAATGCAATGTAATCTTATCGTTCAGAATCCATCATTTTAAATAGGATGAGTAGAATACATTAATTCGAATACGAAAATGATTCGAAACGCAATCTCTGCAAAGAGCTTGTGGTGGCAGTATAATCGAGATATGATAGAATGCGGTACGATGCAGGCGGCTTTTCTTGCGCGACGTTTCGGCGTGTCCATCGCGTGTCGCGGATTTGCATGCGGTATCGCGAACGTTCACTTCGAAGTGGACATCTCAATGGGACGAAAGAGACGAGAATTGCGTGTCGAACGATCGTATCGAGCGAGTCGGGCAAATCGGCTCGCGAGATCTTTCAAACACAGCGCGCCAAGCAGAAGCGAACACGCGCCGGCAAGTTGATGGCTCGTCGCGTTAAATCGAAAAGAAAACGATGAATTGCTATGCGGCACTCACCATTTGACAGACAACACGATTCTCCAGGCCTTTCCGGTACTCCTGCAGCTGCAGGGACTCGTACTGCTCCTTCTTCTTCAGGTGCGAACGGGAACGTCTTACGACCGATATCACCACAGCTGGGCCCATCCGGCCATCTTGCCGTATAACGAAACGTGTACTACGGCACGTTGGCGTGTTTTCTCATTCGTACCTCCCCCGCGGTCGGCAATTGCGTAATACGCGCGCTTTCTCCCTCTCGCACCCGCAACATCTCCCTTCTCTCTTGCGCTTATCTGGTGAGTTGCGGTCGTCGTCGCGGGAAAAGTGATCGATTGGTAAGATATCGCAGTTGAGATCGGAATAAAGAGTTTGCGTTATGCCCACGAGAGCGGCGCCACTGCACGGTCAAATACAGGCTGCGTTCGGGGAGATGCTATTTAGCGCTTTGAGCGTCTTTTGTCCTTGTTCAACTTTCAGGAACAAACAAGGACAGCGCACACTCATAGCGCTAAATAGCGTCTTCCCGAACGCCATAGAGTTCCTCAAGTCAGAGTTGAAATACCGCCCGCCATTTGCAAGAAGAAAATGAATGAGTGAGAGAGAAACTGTAACGTATTCGTCATTTCGGGCTTAAAACTTCTCTCTCACTTTTAGAATAGAGTTTCTCTCTCACTCCTATCATGTCACTCAAAAATTGTAGATAGATGCGGACCAATGCTTTGTCCTAATTGATTTCCTCTGATTAGAAAACTTTAATTAAATAAAGCGTAAAAGATATAATTAATTACGCGCAGATGTTTAACTTAGTGCAAGTTACTTTTCCGGATCAGAGGCAACGATAATTTGGGAATTTATTTAAAAAAAGCTATTTAAAAAACTAAGAAAACTACTAAAAAAATTCTAAATATATTTGAATTTTATGTATGTAATTAAGTAATATTTGCACTTAAACAACAAGCTAATAATTATTTTCTTCATTGCATATTATAAAATAAAACAGAAGCGGAAATGACAACATCCATTATCGCTCCGAGCTCGCAGCTCTTGTGCGTCTTTCTGATAAAATATATTTAATAGTTTTTAAGTAGTTTTCTAAGTAGTTTTTTTAAATAGTTTTCTTTAAATAAATTCCCAAATTATCGTTGACTTTTCTGATCCGGAAAAGTAACTTGCACTGAGTTAAACATCTGCGCGTAATTAATTATATCCTTTACGCTTTATTTAATTAAAGCTCCTCTAATCAGAGTTAGGACAAAGCATTGGTCCGCATTCTATCTACCATTTTTATGAGTGACGTGATAGGAGTGAGAGAGAAACTCTATTAAATAATATTATTTAATTAGCATATACAACAAAATTTAAAATATTAATAAAATTTCAAAAACTTTTTTGGAAATATTAAATACAAATAAATTTTTTAACAAACGCTGAACGCAGTTATTGATTGCAATACTATTTTATAAAAATTTTGTTTCATTTTTTTAACTGGACTATTGTACAAACATAAATTATGTAAACTAAGGAAGCTTCAGACTCGAAGTTCACTTTGAAATTCAACATTTGGAAGTAGTTTCAACGAAATTCCGTCAACCTATGTAACATTGCACGTATGAAATTGCTTTCAATGACTGCGTATTGAAGTTGCAAGGCAAACTTGCTTGACAAGTTTTCGACGGGGCCCGACGAAATGTGATTCAAACGATACCAAAGTGACTACCTTTAACACACATACACTCTTCTAATTGATCACACGATGCATCTTCGTCTCTCTAGTAGATTTTCACTTTAAGCTTTGATCTTCAAAGAAGAAGGTTGCACGTTTCCTTTCGCACATTTACGTAAGATATCGGCGCGTACTCCTAATGCTTGTCGAAGTAAGTCGACTGGACTTTCTAAACTTTTACTAAGACGACGAATGTCGCGAGCGAGTCGCTATGACGTCGGCAAGTCGACAAACTTGTTCAACAGGAACAAGCGTTTGCGACGAATAATAAACGGGTTAAATCGAGACGCCATCAATTTTTGTATAACGCACGTTAATGGATTCGTTTGTTTATTTGATTGATATAAAACGAGTAATAACATGATAAAAACTTGCTTTCTATCGACATATTATTTACACAATATGTATAATATGTATAGTATATAACAATATTTACACAATTTTCATGGAGCAAGGGAAACAGTTAACAAATTAGTTAACTACTGCCGAACCAATCCGACCCCATCGCACCGAAAAACGCGGCAGCGCCGGATTTTATTGTTGCACTGGCGGAATCGTTTCTCGTATGTTCTTTTGTTGGCACTTTTTTGCGCTAAAAGAACAAATACACATTTTAATTTGAGGTAACTATTGTTTGCTATATTCACATAAATCGTTAGTATCATTTGTAATCTTGCAAAAAAGTGAGTAGAGATATCACGTACAAATCTAATCTAATAATGTTCTGTTATCTCAACCATGTTTTTTAATATCAGCTTGAATATATGCGTTGTGTAACATGTGACTTTTTTTATTAGAATGTTATTAAATATATTAAATTTTATTAAAGTAAAAACAACGTGTGTATGTGTATTTTTTTTATAATCGGCAACAAGAAACAACTATAATCGTACAATCGCGTTAATCCCATAACTGATTAATCACATTAATCCAAAATTGCTCACGTCATGCAAGATTGGCCGGCTTACCGAAAATTTACATTCGCGAGAGGTCTACCTTACTCAAAGGGCGACATCTAGGAGCAAGTATGTGCATTTAGAAGGTGATTAAGAAATACAACTTCACCACTGATTGCGCCATCGCGGGAATGTATCTCCGACATGTATATATGGATCTTCGATACGCACCTGTGCTTTATCGGGCATCGTCACCGACATAAGCGGCAAATTTCTCGTAGGAGCAGTAACGGTCAATGGCGGGAACCACGGTGCACCTGTGCAAACCGCAAGCACCGCCGGTGGCTCGGATTTGCCACCGTCGCTGTTGGCGTGTTCGTTGCGCGCGCCTAAGGTCGAGTGCAATTGCTCTAAATGGGACACTAAGTTTCCAAATATCAGCTGCAAAACAAACAAATGTGTCTCATCTGAGTCGTCTCCATGCTGAAAGTATCCTCACATATCGATGATATACCAACCAAAGATCTCTGAACGGATTTTCTCACGTTGATGTGAATGAACGGATTGAAAACGTCATAGTCAAACGGATCTATTTTCGCGAGCACCGCTTCGCAAGTTTTGGCAGAAAGCTCGTTGAGAGCTTTATTTTCGCGGGGCACCATAAGCAACGTACAATACTTTATGTCGTACAATACTTGAAACGCTTGCTTCTGCCTGATATCTACATTCTTGGACGTATTGAGATAATAATTAAATAGTTCTGTAACGATGTTCTCAATGATTTGTTGTAGCACTCTCCTGAAATTGAGAATTATAGTAGGATATATCGTGATGAAGCGTCCACAGAAGTGTGTCATATGGCTAATTGCTTACTTGGGAAATGTGTGCGGTATAATCTTATTTAAATCTTTGCAGATAGCCGTTAAGAACTTTTGCAGAGGTATCGACGGTTGATACGGCACTAGAATCTCGGACTTTATTCGCTTTCCTTCCCCAGACTCCTCTTCTATGGTCACCTTCTCCCATTCGGAGACAATCCAATGAACACGCAGACCGTCAATTGGTTCCTTTAATATGTATTTTTTCTTATGTTCGTGTATCTTGGCCTTGTATACGTCGGCCCAAACGGACCATACGCAAGTGCTCTCCTCTTTCAAAGTATCACAAACGGTTTGCCATTTAACATTCGTGATGCCAAGTCCAGACACTTTCGACAGTGTTAAACATTTATTCAAGCTCGGGCACAATGTAGTCAATGCAAAGAGGAATCTCGCCAGTACTATGGCGTTTATGTCGCGTTGGCCATGCTCAGGTTTATCGTTTACGCATGTATTTTTGATGAATCGTACGAGATCTTCGATCATGTCAGTACTGATCGTTTGCAAGTGCTCTTGGACCTCATTGCGATCGGAGAATGAATTCGCAATTAGAGATATGTTCGCTGTAAATAAGCTATCTTTAATTGTCATCACTCGCTCGGTTTCGTACAAGTAATGCTCCAGATCGGACAGTAGCGTGTGTAAACTCTTGTCAAAGTTTTCGCACAGTTTTATCACGTTCGGGGAATAGCCCTTGGCTTTCATCAACAGGGATCTTTTGTTATCCAATCCACCGTTCTTCGTAAGTTTCTGCGGTATATCGGTGGGAGAGTCCTTCCACACGAACCATCGTAAATCGTGTTCCGGAAACTCAAATTTATCATGCGCCACCTTATCGAGTAATTCTATTATACTGGACTTCAAATCGACAAGCGCGTTCGTCCATTTATCCGTTATAATACCTATCGATAAATGATCACTAGTTATTAAGACAAGAGTAAAGAGACTACTTTCTACATGTACATGCAATTACATTTTGCTCGTTTGGTTATGATAGGTTGGAAGAATTCCATCCAGAAACTTATTCTTGGCAAGGACAGCTCTTCCCATATGGAATTCCAGTTTTCAGGTAGATTCACACTGACAGACTCCTCTCTAACATTATACAGACCTTTAACAGAAACTATTAAATCTAATAACTTGGTGACTTCACAAGTGGAAAACTCATCAACCCATTTCAACCAAGACTTAACACTCTCTTGGAGGACTGATAAAGGAAAGTTTGCTGGCACGTCCTGAACAAATGGTTTATGATGTTTGGAAACCGATGGCAAGAACTCTTCGAGTAAATCCTGATTTAAATCAAGTTGCGACAGTAAGCAATATGCTTCTTGATCCTTTATGTCTGTTATGAATTGTAAGACTAAGCCCCCCGGTGCATTATCTGCATCTACAATCATGTATAAAATACTAGAAAGTAAGTAATTTCCTTTATCTTAAATGTTAATTCTAAAATTTTAATTCTAAAAAAAAACACTTACTTATAAAGCACGAATATATCAAGTGGACAGTCTGTATAAATATTTTTATGCACAACTTTAGCTTGTTTTTTACACTGCTATGACTCTCTTCTTTAATGACAGACACAATAGCATGATTTCTTGTGGATATTAATTTTTCTAATAGATCCACAAAAGGAGACTCGTTTAAGAATACAAGTGAAGCCAAGCAGTTTGCAGCATTCTGCAAAAAACATAGATACCATTAATAATTGTTTGAGTATCAGATGTAATTTACAATTTGTATACCAACTATGGTAGAGACATCTAATGACTGCAATATCTTGTTACACTCGTTACATATAATGTTCTTAAATTGAGTAATAACGTCCCACTGCTTCGAAACAATTGGATATTTACGAAACAGCTCTGTGCTGCCTATTTCAAACATTAAACCATAATTTATATGTTGTGCTATTATGTATAACTGTGTAGCAAAGAGTAAGTTTTGAGTCTCGATACTCGTCCAGATGTACTGTGGAATATCCATTAGAATTTTGATTTGGATGATAACAGAGTCCAAAATATGTTCTTCTCTCCTGTGAAAAATTATAACTTAGATTCCATGCCTTACTATAAATTATTTTATCATTTGTTTGCATCTAAACAATGTGTATAAGTGTGGTAATATCAGAAAAAGGAAACCTGTCTAGCTTATCTTCCACGAGCTCAGTCTTAAAACCGATAAGATATTTCTTTTGCAGTTCCTTAAATTTATCCTCTATATTAGCAATTTTTGAGGTAACTCCCTCGGACGTTATCTTCATTTTTCCAATAGTATCGGCAGCCAAGATTAAATCCCGATATCTCTCCCTGAAAGTCATTGAAAATCATTTGTTGACAATTTTCTGGAACTTCCAGTATAACCTTTCACACGTAATTGATGTATACTCTCTTGCGAATTAGAAATTGACAAGAAGATAAATCGTCGCACAAAAATTTTATTAAATATAACATACAATATTTTATACAATAGTTTCAACAAACTAAAGTTAAACTGAGCTGTACGAAGTTGTATAATTATGCCATACCCAACTAATGTTCGCAGTTCTATTTTCTTTCTATCACTCTCCAATTGAATTTTTTTCTGAATTTCCTCGATTTCTTTGATGGTGTGCTCCTCGAATAACTTATTTATGTCCAAATCCAAATAATTTGTAGTTGTCATGTTTTTGACAGTTTTTCCCTCGGAAAACGACAGATCCCACGTAAGCTACGCTACATCACAACTTGGACGAATTATCGTCATCTCCTTTACCATTCGATGATAGAGTTTCTATCGATCTGATTACGTTCCTGTTGGTAGACGTTGCTAAACTGTTAATTAGGATATTGTGTAAATAAAAATTAGCATCTACAATAATTCACTATTTTTATTCACTACTTGTGAATAAAAAGGTCTTCTGCCTTGTTGTTGAAATAAATAACTTGAAAATAAAAACTCGAACATAATATCTTTCAGCTTGCTGTTATATCGTAAAATATGGAAATAAAAGGATTAGCTGTCGTTACGTACGAAATGTACAGATCTAGGAACTAGCCTATCCGACCTCTAGGTAACGTATAAAAGTAAAATGTTTTCTTTAGGAATTTTGTATGTTTTCTTTAGGAATTTGTACATTAAAATGTAATTATTTGCTTATCCAACTTCTAGATACTACGCGCTTCATTTTATGTCTAAGTAGGTGGCGGCTCGTAGCGGAAACTTCAAAAAAAACAAAAAAATAACGGGTTTAACCATGGGTACGTTCCGATTCCTTACACGGGTGCACTCTACCTAGAAGCGCTATAGTATATGTAAAGCCAGCGGCACACGATCTTGTTTTCGTGCTGGTTTGCTTGCTGGAAGAAAATATTCTGTTCTGATTGGCGCATCTCTGAAGATGGATAGAAATGCACTAATCAAAACAGAGCATTTCCATGTAGCAAGCAAAAAAAAATTTCCATGTAACACGACATAAGCACCGTATGCCGTTGGCTTAACATATAATAGTAATACAGTGCATCCGGATGAGGAATCTGAACGCAGCCCATAGTGGGTCAATTTGAATTCAGATATCAGCGTTCTTCACCAAAACTGCGTTCCAAAACTCTACTTGACGGGTAGAGTAGCATTTAATCAGAGAGAAGCCTGAGAGCGGCCACACCATATGTTTTGGGCGGGTGACCCAATTGACCACGATACGATTGGACACAGATTGTAATGATTGGTTCGACCTAGTAATTCACTAGATAATTCTTTTCATCGGTTGGTTGTGTCCAATCGTACCGTGGTCAATCGGGACGCTCCCGTTTTGGGCGACATCGATTTTCACGCTGGTGCGATGCACCATCTGCACCCATTTTTCAAATGGAACTACGTTCCCTACGCCCATTTTCAGACGATACCGGTAAAGCAGTGATTCGGTGCGTGTCTATTCTACGCCCATTTCCTGGCGATTCGTGTCCGTGCTAAGCGCAGAATTGCGTAATTAAAAACATGGACCATTGCGTACGAACTTATATTCCATTCAACATGCACATGATCTTTTCTCTTTACACACTGTCATAAATTTATTTACATGTATATGCGAGAACCTGATCGCGAAAAGCACGCCTACTTCCATGCCCTACATAACGCAACGATATTAATCGCATTATTATAAAACATTAATTCCAGTAGCATAAACTGTGGAAAAACTAGTGCTCTTTAAATAACATCAATATCTTTCGTGGTTGCCGAGAAATAAGAAATAAATGCTAGCGGCATGTAAGAGCTTGATCGCACCGTCGAAACACTCACGCATTTCTATACTTTACCTAAAGCAGTGGTGTTAATCGTAATATTATAAACAACTAATTCCAATAGAGTAAAGTATGGAGAAGACAGTGCTTTTTAAACGAAATCGATATCTTTTGTAGTTGCCGAAATTAAGCAATAAATGCTAGCGGCATGTAAAAGCCTGAGCACAACATGGCGGTCAAGTGTTTCTTTGCCGCCAGCATTTTTTCCTTTATCGCATTTTTTATTTATCGCGTTTGCACATTTTATTTAACACTTCAGTACTAATTGTACTATTATAAACATTTAATTACAGTAGAATAAACTGAAAAATTTAGTGGTTTGTGAACGAAATCTATATCTTTTGTAGTGTCGAAATTAAGCAATAAATGCTAGCGCATGTAAGAGGATGACCGCGACGTATATCGAGACGTTCTCGAAATACGCCGTATGTAGAAAATAATTTGAAGGACGATATATGACATATAACAATATAATATATATATGACATATAACAATATGATATATGACATATAACAATATGATATATGACATATAACAATATGACATATAACGATATATAACAATTACTTTCAGAATTTTGACTACAGAGAAAATCGTAATATGATTGTGATATTCATAATCAGAGAAATAATTCCAAGGGTGCGACAGACCCTTTTTTGGGAAAAAATGTCGCAAAAATTATTGGGTCTAAATTATTGGGAGTGAACATTAGATTGAGGTGCAATACGAGTCTATATTTTAATTAATTAATATTTTTTAAGAGCCTAACGTCAAAATCGGGCTTTGTAGTATCCTTGATACTAACGCAAGAAAGATATAAAAAATTATTTTGTGAGTAAATGTAATATATATGAGACAAACTTTGGTGAATGATATTATGGAAAGTGTAGTATAATTGCATTTTAGTTCAGGTAGTTCGAACCAACCTTCCTGCTTTTGCGTCCGCGCAAACAACACGTTTATGAGGACGTGTGTATGGACATAAACCTACACGCAAAAGCAGAAGCTTCGGGCTTTCCCCGCACGAGGCCTCCATAGTCAACTGAGGATCTGTCTACTCCTGTAGACCCTTAATTAAATTGTGCGGTGATGTTAGCTTGGATTTTTTCGTTTTGTGTAAAAAGATGAATAAAATATTCATTAATAAAAACTTATTTTTTTTAATTGGATCATTCTTACATAACAATAGCCAATTAAAATTTCGATTCGGGAGGCTTTCTTTTCGTCGGATTATTTCTTGATGATACATCAAGAGATGTATCATCTCTTGATACATCTCTTGTTAAATATCAATATATACCTATATATACATAAAATCAGTACATTAGAATTCCTAAATGCTTTTATATTTCCGGTATCTAGAGAATTGTATTTTTTCGATCTGGCACATCGTTTCTCAGTAAGCGTGAATCGTGATTGTTATGGCTGGTTTATGATGGCTGTAATCCGTTAACTTATGTTGAAACCGTAAAAAATTGACTAATCATAGTTGAATTATAGAAGAATAATCGACTGTGATTGGTCAATTTTTTACGGTTTCGGCATAAGTTAACGGATTACGGCATCATAAACCGGCCTTTAGTTATTGAAAGAACTGACAACTGACTGTCACGGTTTACGCTTACTGAGAAACGATGCGCCAAATTGAAAAAATCCAATTTCCTAGATACTAGAAGTGTAAAGGCATTTATGAATCCTAGTGTACATCGGTAAATAAAGATAACGTTTTCTATGTTTTGAATCGTTTTAATCGTCTCTACGCTTAGCAAGTTTGTCGTCCACTCCAGCATCCCCTTAAGCCGTGATTCGAACCGAGATTGTTTCGAGTCTCCGATATTTTTCATATTATTATAAACTACCAATTCTAATAAGATGTATTGTGGGGCAGATAGTACTCTTTGTATCATCTTGATATCTTTAGTGGTTACCGGGAAATGCGCGAAAAATGCAATCAGTAGTAAAAAGGCTGTCAGCGACGTCGAAAAGAACGCACCCTTCCACGGCTTATTTAACGAACCGTTATTAATAGTATTATTATAGTATTAGTACTATTAGTATTATTGTAAATTCTGAATTTTAACAGGATAAATTGTGGAGAACTTTGTTTTCTTTGAATCACATCGATATCTTTTGTGGTTGCCGAGAAATAAGCAAAAAATATGAACAGCATATTTAAACTTGTATATTTATTTATTGTTTTATTCTATCCAATTTACAAATCTTTTTTCCTTGCAAAATTACTTAGAACGCAGCGCAAGAAAGACGGGACTGATGAGAGATGATCTAGTTTTGCTATAATATCGCCGCTAGCTTGTTTTGTGCCTACGTCGCGCGGTCTGCTCATCAGTGGCGAGACAAGTGGTCTGTTCTTTTCAGCTGCACTGCTGAACTGGTGCGATAAGTTAAATAAGTGAGACAAGTATATGTTTTCTCACTCTAACTTATTGCACCAGTTCAGCAGCACAGCTGAAAAGAACAGATCACAGAATAAAGCGATTAGACATCTGTCCTTTTCTAACTTACTATCATTGTACGGAAGTAAAACGGGCGCGAACCAGAGCTGGTATTCCGTTACCGTGGTTCCGATAGTTTGTTAGGCGTCGTTGCGCAGTTTTTCCACGGTATAAAAAAGCTGCGCAACGACGCCTACCGTTTCGACAACTATCGGTACGCGGAATAGTACCCAGGCGCATTTTATCGTTACCGCCGCGAAAATGCGCCTAATGAACGTAGTAAAGGCGCACGTTGTTAGATGGCGTCTCGAAAATGCGCCTAGCTCTGGCTATTGACATCAGACTGGTGGCCGCTCTCATGCTTCTTTCTGGACTCAGTAACTAGTTTACAGGTTAGCAAATAATTCATCGATATTCCGTCCCGTCACGTTTAGTTGCATATAATCAATTGCAAAACGGACACAATGAAGTTGGGAGTTCACTAAACTGTCAGTCATTGACATGGAGAGTCATTACTGAAGGGGTACAGTAATAATACAATTAACAATATAACAATAATGATTGTATTATTAATTAATTAATTATATTAATTAATAATATAATTATATATTTTCTGCGCGAGTTCGTCGGTAACGATTTTCAATTTGGATGATTTGGTCAGATTTCAACTTCTGTCTAAATAGTTTTGCAATTAAGGGTCGATTTTTCCAACCTCTTGGTAAGCTAACAGTTAAATCATATGTCTATTTTTGTATAATTTGAAGGAGAAGCAGAGACAGGTATATGAGTTAACTGTTAGCTTACTAAGAGGTTGGAAAAATCGGCCATAAGTGGTGCATCGACTTGACGAATGGCAAATATGAGACCCCGAGTGCTCCCGCACTTTCCAGACAGGCACTTTCCAAACCAACATATCCTAAAGATAGACTCGATGATGCAGAACGCGGCTCGCAGCGCCTACTAACAGGAAACATCTCGCAATGTGTCTCCGGGGGAGTTATTTTGGCTACTCCTCATTGGGGATCCGTCGTGAGGTTGTGTAGCGGAGTTGATGTCCTCGAATTGCCGCGCCGCGCGCACGGAAGAGCACCGCAAACGAACGAACGAACGCACGCGCAGCGCGGCGCAACCTAGCGCAGCACAGCCAACTGACGACGGTGCGCTATGGTATGCGGCGGTTCTTCACTGCAAAAAAGCGAACTCGGCGGATTTGCGCGTTTTACGTCGCCTCGCTCGCGATAACCCCGGACGGGATATAAGGTTATGCCGTTGCGAACGATCCGCGGCTCTCCTCTCATTCGCGGGGGCCACCGTGTCGGCGTGCTTTCGTGGGCGGGGAACGCGAGTGACCGTAAGCAATGAAATTTTTAATTGTACGGTGACACATTCCTCGTGAGACACGGGCAGGTGTGTCTTCTCTCGGATGTGTACACAGCCCCACCAAGCAGCCTCGCGTACGCTCCGGTCTCCGGTTTCATCCGGTCGCGGTTTCGTCCGATCGGCGGGACGTGTAATGCGTTACGGACTGAAAACAATCTGAGGAGTTTCCGATGACTGTCGACAATACAGGTGAGTATTCCTTTTATTTGCGCTGCGCTCGCGAGGAGCGCCAAGTGATCTCGCGTCGTCGGGCAACTTACCCGCTGTTATCGCGACGGAGACGCCACACGGGCGAATTCGCAGATCTGCGATTCGTCCTTCTCTGAAATTAGCACGTTCGCGCGATAGAACTCCCGCCGCGTGTTGCTATTTTAGCGAAGCGTTCCGCATGCGGGGATTGCGTGTGCTGTGAGCAAGGACTCGGCTAAAGTGGGGTTATGTTCAAACAAATTCTGTACAGTGATGTTTCGTGAAATTGTCGGCCCTTCTTTTTTGAGGGGTACGTGTACGCGTACCTGGGCGGGAATCTTCGCAACATTGCAGCACAAGTTTTTTTGAGGTACAAAATGTAACAATTTTGTTTGCAATGTACCAATATGGTAAACAGGCTTATCAGATATGCGGTCGTTGCGCAGGAAGTTTTGATACATCAGTCGATTAGAAACCGATGTGAGGAATAAGTAGAATTTTGTTAAATCTGGAATTTCTTTCCTCAATGCACAGATTATCATAAGGCAAGAAAAATGAGTACCTCACTAACGTCACTTCAACCAAATAGTCAAAGCTTAGAAAGACAGAGACATGTCAGAAAAACGACAGAAAGACTTTATAACAGTCTCACCAAAAAGAGGTTTGTTTCTTCATCACTGTAGATATTAATCAGTCATATGTGTAATAACCTCTTCTTATTTAGTTTGCCATTGTGTGATATAAGAGAACTGATACCGAACCAAATATATTTTTAGGAAAGATCCAAAGCAACCAAACGTTCAAAGAATGTGGATAAATCAAGAAGACTGCAAAGATGACTTTTGGGCAGCTATAAGATCAAATTATGATTATATTATGGACACTAATTTAATCGACACTTGCAAGGTAAGATATCTTTTGAAATCATACATAAATATAATATAATAATGCAATGAGAAGCAGAGATACAACTGAGTATGGATACACTGTTGTTTGAAGTGTAATTTATAAAAGATAGGATAACATACAGAAATTTACTCTAATGATTCAGGAAGCAAACGGTGAATTGATATGGGATGAAACAGATGTGTCAACACAATCGTGGAATTTGAAGGAAGTTAGTAGCCAATTTTCAGAGCTTTATTCATGGTTAAGAATTCTCCAAGAATTGGTCTATTCTAAAGAAGAAAATCTCTTAGATAAAAGCCTGCGTGCAGTAAGTGCCAATTTTACCATACATTTAACATATTACATGATAAAATCAAGAATGAAGACAAAATTATATGAATTCATTCATATTAATTAGGCTCATATGGAGGAGCTACGACGCAAGGCGTACAGACGCAAATTGTTCAATGAGCAAGCAGAAAAGTTAATTTCTCGCGCCCCTGCTTTAAAAGACGAAGTAGGGTGGCGTGTAGATCACTTGAATGCGAAATGGGAACTAGTTGAACAAATTATGGCACCCATAGACCGACCTGTATCTAGTCAACAAGATATATCTGCAGGTGATCAGTTGTGTTTTTCTGTTCTATGCATATCTACCTTTCTCTCTGGAGCTGTAGTCACAATTTATTTTAAGGTTTTAAATGAGATGTCTCATAGTATTATTTCTGTCTGTGTTGTTATTGCTAAATGATATGGATGCTCAAAGATATTGGGTATTCCATTATATTAAGAAGATACAATAATATTACATAAACGCCTCTTATCAAAGAATATTATTAATGTACATGAAATTACTTGATTCCCGTAGATTTTGAACGTGAAGTAAAGTGTCTAAGAAAGTGGTTACGAGAAATGGAGTCGCGACTTCAACCTCTAAGCTTTCACATCAATTGGACTTTGTCAGAATTGGAGGAAAAAGCAGTAGAGCACATGGTAAGTAATATATTTTTTATGTTTTGTTTATACAGCAAAGTTATTCGTTAAATGCTAAAGCGTGTTTCTTGTTGCTTGAGAAAATTTATTATGTGATATGTATTTTTTGTGTTGTTTACTGCTTCTTTTTATTATTTCTCTTTTGATTCTATTTATTATGAATCTTCCTACACGTTAGGCTTCTGTAGCAAGATTTGCACGGAAATATAATTATACTGTGCATGTATATCGGCCCCTTTTAATAATGCTTCCATTAGGATTTACCACTGTGCAAAAAGAAGAGATATTTAAAAATGGTACATATATAAAAATCTCCATGATTATATACACATTTTTCTGAAGCTTCCTGTTGACTATTTATATGACGCATCTGTTTTTTTGTATTTTTTACATGTTTTTGTATTTTAATTTTATTTTTACTAAAATACCGCGCCTTTTCTATGGCTGGATTACGTCAGATGCATGAGAGGCAAGGCCGCGCATAATTATATTCCCTCCTTTCGTGGACCGGTTTGATTGTTAACGCCAAAGCGATGGCAATAGCTAAGAGAAGAGTTCAGCGCGGTTCAGGCGGCATACGTGCTAAGAATAAAGCTGCGTGCGTTGGCGCCGAGCACGTGCACGTATCGGCTTGAATTCTCCCGACCAACGCAGCTCAACGCTCCGGACAACGGATGTAATGGCGTCGTGACGAGGACAAGGAGTGGGGAAGCGAACAGCCGGCGCGGACCCACGTTTGTTGTTTTGTTTGGGCTCCGATCTTAGCCGAAGGCTCGCGTTCGGACGCAAACGATGCGCTTCGTTGCGCACTGGAGAGACCAGCTGCCTGCCGGCTGCACGAGCCGACAGAGTTCGCCGTTCCACGGTCGCCGCCGGTGGACGGGCACGTTAGCGCGAGCACGTTGATCCAAGGTTCCCTTCCTTCTCCTTCTCCTCTTCTTCTTCTTCTTCTTCCTCCTCCACCACTTCGTTCGCTCGCTCGCTCGCTCGCTCATTTTCCTCCCGCTCGTTCTCCGTCTCCGTTGGTCCCGTCGTTATTCTTTTCCTAGAGAGCATCGCTATATTTAAACCGAACGAATAGTGCGGGTCCCTTGTGTTCGATTTATCGCGGCATCCCTCACGTAAGTTTGCACGCGTGCGGCCTCCACGGCGTTCCGGCTTTTCTTCGCCGGCATCTAGCCTTCCTGCCTCCCACCCTCTTTCTCTTTCTCTCCCGTCGTTGAAAAACAGCGGGGGTTCCTCCTGAGAAGAGAGTTACGGTCGCGCGACTGCCGTGGGCCGCGTGGGTCAGCCAGACGAGTCTCTTCCCTACGGTCTTGTCTTCCTTCGGGCTTAACCGGCCGTCACCGCCGCCGCCGCCGCCGCCGCCGCCACCGCCGCCGCCGCCGCCGTTGCCGCTCCGGCTCTCTCCCTTCTTCCTTCGCCTCCTACTCGTTTCCCCGTCCTCGTCCGACCGAGAGACATACCTCAGCGTCGACGCGCTCGGGACTCTTGGCGCGGTCCATTCGACGTGGTTTCTCCGCCGCCGACGGCCGTGCGATATCACGAGTCCGCGCGCCGCAGCGTGGCGAACGAGAGTCATTCATGCTCGTCGTGACGAGCAGCGCGACGAAGCCGCCGCGAGGAGGCAGCGAGGGGCAACAGTCGCTCCGAAGAAACGCGCCGGCTCGGCGAATCGTCGACTCGCCGCTGCTCTGCTCTCTGTGTTGGCTGTGAAAAAAGGGAGGAAAAAAGACCGGGAAGAGAGAAATGCGTTGCCTCGTTGCCGCAGTCCGAGAGTGTCGTAGGCGGTGGTAGTGCGCGGTTTTACACAGTGTGATGCTCGCTCGCTCCGTCCCTTCCGTGGTTCCTGGCGTGGATACGCGCGGTGTCTCGACCGCGCCGTCCTGTTTTCCGTGGCTGACGTGCAGCAGTGCGCCGCTCCTCATCCCGGGACGCAGTGGATATGCATTTCGGTAAGAGAGGCTCTCTTCATCCACGTAATCGGGGAGCTTTTGTCCGCGCGTCGCATTCAATCGCGCGCCCGTGCGAGTGCGCACGTGCGCGAATTCCCGTGCGTTTGAATTCGCGCGAAGGTTTGGAAAATGCGCACAGGCTGAAACAGGTTGCTGGCCGCTCGCTGTCGATGACTCGTTCAATTTGACGCGACTCGCTTCGGGAGCACGTGGATCGTAAGGAAAAACCGCGGTGATTTTAACGCCGGGCGGAGGTATTTAGCGCGTGAAAGTTGGAGTTCCGATCCGGAGAGAGACGCCGTATATTTCTTCGTACTTAGCTGACTTGTTGCGCCTGCCCAAATGTCGCTGTTAGCATTGTGGTTGCTAACTGAAATCCGATTCGCGCACGTTGAACTCCGTCCCGTCATCGAATTTCCGTCAAAGCCCCCGGTACCTTGAGCTAGTTTCGGCATCCGCAGCTGCGTGTATTCACGCAGTCGAGATTGATCGTGATATTTGTCCCGTTATTATCACAACAAAGAGCACAATGAGACAATGAAGCAATTGCAGTGGTGGGTGTCATCAGGCCGATCTTAATAATGCATCTCTGATGTAATCATGGCTTGGCTTTTGATTAACTGCATCGTTTTGTACTGATGTAATATCATGGATTTTGACAGTATCACAGTTATATAACGATGTAGAAAGAGACAAAAAGCAGGCTATTTTTGTATACGAAATCATCTTTCAGCCCAATAACACGCGCGATGTGTTTACTCGTTTAAATTAAAATATTAAGCTTACTTCTATAACTAAATAACACTTATTTTTGTGAAAAATATGATATTTTTGTGAAATAGACTTTGTATCTCCCAAATGAATTTTCTTTCTTAGTGTATATTTTAGGAATTGAGATGTGTTATTAAAAAAAATTATTATGTTCCTTGGCAAAATAGATCTCATCAATTGAGAGAAAAAAATGGTTGATCTAACTAAAAATATAGTTATATTTTTGGCTTCAATCGTAATTTTATGTAGTAAAATGGTGATAGTAACATGTATATAAGGTTATTATCATTGATGTTATAGCAGAATTTAATAAAAAAAGCTTTTCTTGACTATAATGTATTAATGGCAATTATTTTTCTATCTGTAATTATAATTACAAATATTTTTTTCTCAGTGCATATTTTTGTTGTATTAAAAACAATGTAGAATTGGAAAGAATTGATATGAAAAAACTATAATATTATCTTCGTGTAGAAGACACGATAATATCCGTTAAACGTCGAGATAAGAAAAGGTCGAGATAGAAAAAAGACAAGAAAAAGATAGCTTGCTGTATGTAAATCGTTATGTATTTATCGTTATGTATCTCTCCTCGCATACTAATCGCGCGCGCGCGCTTTACTCTCGATCCGTATAAACTATGATTTGTCTACACTCCCCAGCTCCGAGTTCATAACACAACGCGTACACGCGCGCGCACGCGCGAATATTGTTTTCCGATTTGGTCATCGACACTCCGCACGCGAGCCGCGTGGATGCTCCGTTGAACGACATTCGTGGATGTTGAAGTCGGTCGTTCGAGGTCAAGCGAGTTCACGTGGAATTGTCCGTATAAAGAGAAAGTAGATCTTTGGAATTTTATGGACTCCCGGCGCGCGCGCGGAGTACCCGTTAATTGCGTCCGCGGATCGCTGGGCATTAAATCGAATTTGAATATGATTTTCCGTCGCAAAAGAAAAAGAAAAAACAAGAAAGAAAATAAGGAAACGCGTCGCGATTTTCCTGTCGTTAAGTAACCCAGTTATTGCGCGCGTTGCACACCTGTTATTCGCGCATTCGCGAAGCTGCGTATTTGCGTATGTGGTGCGCGCATAAATCAAGAAGAAAGTTATTCCCCGTTAGGAAAAAGCATCTCTCGAAAGTATCTCGCGAGGGGTGACGTCCGGTCTAGTTCAGTTTTCGGGACCTCGGAGTCTTGTTTGTCGGTTTCGTGGTAACGGTTGCTCCATTATAATAGCCAATTAGCGTTTGAAGCGATGCGGACTCGCGCGTTTCGGCAGTTACGCGAGAACCCGAGGAAACCGCGCAAAGCCGGGACAGTATAGTCGACTGGCTTTTGAGCCGAGTATTTTTGGAAGCGCACGGCCGTGCTCAAACAGCTCGCCAAAGTTCCATGCTCACGCGACGCCGGTGCGATTTTGCCCTCCTTCCGAATGAAAAACGATCCTGATCGCGTTAGAAACGCGCGGTGGGACTTTTCACGTGCGACCGTGGCAAATTTCAAATAGATCGAGTCGGCGAGAGCACGGCGAGCGCGCGCGTGCGCTACCAAGCTCTATTCTCGATCTTCCGTCCCGCACAATCGCGCACCGTTCAGATTACGGATTCGATCTTTAATCGACGCGATAACGCGCCGCGCATTATCGCCGAGGTATCTCGCTTCGATATTTATATTCAATTTTTCATCTCTTACAAACACTTTTATCGTCCATCACCTGAGATTGTGTGCGCGCGCCGTTCGCAGGGAAATCGCTTGAACTCATTTGAGCCGTATATTTTCTATTTCCTAGTGAAGTTTCAGATTTGTCACAGGGGAGATTTCTCGAGGTCGCAGAAATTACGAATCTGAGATCAAAAGGTTACAATTCAAAATGGCGGTTCCAATGTGGTAATAATTTTTCAAAATCAACAATCTCGGTTTTAATATTATCTAGAAATAACGATAACATTTCGTTGATATGAAAAAGAAATATTTGCATTATCAACAAGAAACTTTCAATAGTTTATTGTAAAAAATAGGGCTTACAGAAAATTTAGAAAAAATATGTAACATACTATTAATTGTTGTTAACAAACTGTTAATATTTCAATGTGCCAATTCCTAATAATTTGTTCTGAAATGATTTTTTCCCTTTTTTCACTTTTTTTTATTGGCTTATAATAATTTAACAATTGAACATTTTTAAATAATTTTTTATTTATTTTTAATTCCTTACGTTCATGAAAGTGTAATAATATAATCGTCTATATCTACCGATAAGTTAGTTGAAATCA